ATCTTATACGTCGTGATGGTCACCATTGAAACCGGCTCGTCCTCCGCTTTCAGAAAATATATGCTTTGCCTAGGGTCCTTTATAAAAAGTGCCGGGTGAAGGGTGGGTGAGACTTTTATAATGGGAGTGCTCAAGTACAGGCTTTTTTACCATTGTAAAAAGACGTCTACTTGAGCACCCCCATTATAAAAGTCTCACCCACCCTTCAGCCGACACTTTTTCTTACGGACTCCAGGCAAAGTATATATTTTCTGGAAGCGGAGGACAAGACGGTTCCAACGGTGGCCATCTCGGCGTGAAAAATGTTCATCTACAAAAGTTATGAATTTTTTTATGTTGAAAACTCGAAAATCTCCAAAAATCACTAAGACACCCTTCACCCAGGCACTTTTTTCAATGGACTCTAGGCAAAGTACATATTTTCTGAAAGCGGAGGACAAGACGGTTTCAATGGTCATTATCATGGCGTTCAAAATGTTCGTCTTCAAAAGTTACGGATTTTTCTATCTTAAAAACTCGTAAATATCCAAAAATCACTACCCACACTCTTCACCAGGCACTTTTTCAACAGACTCCAGGCAAACTATATATTCTCTAAAAACGGAAGACAAGGTAGTCTTAAAAACATTTCCCTTGCTGACGTTGCTGTTCATCTACAGAAATTATGAATTTCTTGTTTCGTTTAAAAATTGTCTAACCCTTTCCGAAACAAATGTTATCGCATGCACATCTTCTATGGTAATTCCAAAAACAGGCAAGGTGATGTAAAAAAGAAAAAGGAATTGTTAAAAAAATGCAAGGTGCTGGTCAGAAATATAATTGTGTGCTAATCCAGCATCACATCGGTTCACAATTCAGAAGAAAGATAACCAGTGATGGTAAGGAATAAATTATGAACTCTGACAAGGAAAAATGATGAGAAAACACCACGGCTCCCCCCCCCCCCCCGTCGACATTTTATAATTTCTCTAGCAAGTGAAACACCCTTCACCCTGGAGAGGCTGCGACCACTGTGACGCCCTTCACTCTGGAGGAGTCATTCTCACCTTATCGCATCTGTGCGCGGAATTCTTGCAAAAA